ATATTCCTGGACAACGTCAGCTACAGTATGTTTGGGGCGCCGACAATATCCATGTTTTCAAAAGCCGCAGCAGGCAGAATGACTTCTGGTTCAAGGGTCAAACGGCCCCGTCGTCCAATCAGCGATGTCTCATGTTTCCCACTGGTACCTACTTTTTCCGGTAGGTTGATGTAATTGTGTTTTCCATAATGTAGTTGCGCTTTGCTTTATGTGGTTTTGTTTTTCTTAGTGTAGTTGCGCTTTGCTTTATGTAGTTTTGTTTTTCTTAATTTAGTTGCGCTTTGCTTTATGTAGTTGCGTTTTCCTTAATGTAGTTGCGCTCTTAGATTTGTAGTTGCAGTTTGCACTTCAGGGCCACTGTATTTTGTTCCCCTTTAGATGTTTTTTCATGCTTTATTTTTTTAATTTTCTCTCTTTTTACCTGTAGCACTTTGAGATGTTTGATGGAAAGTGCAGTATAAATTAAATGTATTATTATTATCATTATTAAAACAGATACAAGGAACATGGAAAAATCTTGATCTTATCAGTATTGATTTTGACAGTCACAGTCAGATAAAGGAGGGACCATGCGTCTAAAATCTTGTTTTCTTTGTGCAAGAAGCAGAAGAAATTTTTCATAATTTCTTTTTAAATTATCCACAGTCATACCTAGATATACAAAACAGATATACACTTTTAACTGCTACACCAGCAGTTAAAACTAAAGCTTGGTTTACAATTGATGCGTTTACAAATTAATTTTAGGTGTCCACTCCCCTCTGCGCTGTCTTTGTATTGTTTCCATTTCCTTGGTGCTCCTTGCAGTGTCGGTGCAGAGGGGCGTGGACGCCCAAAATTATTACCACTATGAACAGACTTTGAAAACACTCCAGGAAAGAAATTACTCTTGCTCTCGAACGGCGTGGATGGAGGACAGGGGTCTACTACCTGATGTAGAGGTGTTGTCAGAATGTTTGTGCTTAATGCTTCTTATCATTGTATATCTTTTATCAATCTGTACTACTTGTATCCATTGATATGCTTTTACCTCGTGAATCACTGATATTTGCAAAAAAAAAAAAAGACATCAGAGTATATAGCATGTAATAAAGTCAGTGATTTTTGTATGTCTCCATCTGCAGAGGTAATGAGACGAGACCTGAAGGCTGCAGTTTGTTTCTAAGCAACACCAACACAGTATGCACTGAAACCCACCATGGGCTACAAGGTAATATCTTTAATGTTTTGAAAATCTAAAATCATCACATAAGTGTTTAAAATAAAGACTGTTTTCATTCACTGAGTGTGTGAAATCTCACCTTGCACAGTTTTTTGCCTAAATGTAGATCTGGATGATTAGCATCAGCTGCCTTTGCTACAGGGGTCACACTTGTTTCTTTATTTTCGATTGGTTTTATATTTTGATCAAGTTTAACCACAGCAACAATAAAGCCCCTTTGTCTCTCTTTGGAGAAAGTATTTCAGGCTCCTTTGCCAGATTAGTTCACATTTTTGAAAAAATTAAAAACAGAGTGCGTTTATGCAGATGGAAACCGCTTTCGATAGCATTCCCATACTATGTGCTGCGGTGACATTTACTTTTACCAAAATGCATAATTTCAGATTTTATGGTAATCTATGTCCTAAAATGCCTTTGCAGAAAAGTTTGGGATTTTTATTTGTTTTGCAAAACCTGGCTTATTTTTCTGAAGGACTAATGCATAATTAAGACTTTTACGTAGTACCACCTCCATTAGGTACATTTACACTGATAAATAGATCTAGTGCCAACCAAATTAGAAAACTAGTCATAATTGTTTAGCCCTACATTTAATCCAGTGTAGACATCAAGGTTAGTGTTAGAGCTTGTTTAATGAGACAGACTTGTGCAGAGAGGAGAGACACAAAGTCGCTTTCTTTTAGCTTCCATTGTGAAGTTTTCCCTGATGGCAAAGGGCACCATGTTATCTGCTGGTGTTGATTTACTGTTTTATGGGCTCCAAAGTCAGCATCAGAAGCCAGAGGAGGCGGTACATATTTTATAATAAATTATCTGCGATGGAAAAGTTACATATACCATCTGTTATTAGTAAAACAAAAACTACCATCATGTTACTAAGGCACACAGCTAAGCGAATGCACTGGTTACTGGTCTGTGCTTTAGAGTTGAATGATGCATTTTATAAGTGACAGGCAAAATGACCAAATCGCTTCACTGCTGTAGCCATGCATTTAATATACATTTGTTCATATGTAGTTTGTTGTTGCTTCCTTATGCATGTTATGATGTAAATACAAACTACACTTTAAACAACACTTCAGAATCTAAAATACAATAAAAAGGACTGTGTGATATTTTGTAAAAACATAAGCATTTAAAACATGGTCATCCTATCACTTAAAACCTTTACTCATCAGTAAAGTGACATTTCAGCATGATACCTGTAATTTAAAAACAGCTCTCACAGAGAAAAAAAAAATCTTCCCACAATTTAGCAGGCATTTTATTTTTTTTTTACATTTTAATTTTTTAATTCAGAAATTTAAAAATAAGGCAATTTAGAGCTGATTTAAACAGTTCAATTTTTGCTTAAGGTTAGCCTACCATCCAAATTTCATACTGATCCTTAACTCAGATGCATTTTGACTGATTACCCAGAACGTGGGCTTTTCTGAAATCTTATTAAGAATCTCTGAAGTGTTGCATCTTTGTTGAGCATTGTCAAGTAGTGATAGATCTTCCTCATAAGCATCAGCTCTGAGACTTGATGGTTTATGGTGAATTAGCTGGTTTTCCACCGTTTTTCCTTTCACAGCTTCATTGTAAGTGTGGATATTTGGGATCATACTATTTTGCAAGCAGAGAGGGGGACAGATACAACAGCCACGTGGAGTTTGCTTCTGTTATCGTTGTTTTCAATGGATTTCTTTGAAATTATTTATTCTTTTTTTGTGTTAAATAACAGTGAAACGTTTAAATAAAACATTACAAAAAAAGTACAAATTAATCTTTCCTAACAGAACTAATGGATAAAATGAGGTAAGTATGGGCTTCACATAACTAAATGCAAAAGGATTAAATAACATAACATTCATATTTGCCCACTAAAGCTAAAATAGGAGGTCACAGATAATGGTAGAGTATTAAGGGTCGAAAGAGACGGTTCTTCTTTGTAAACCAGCTCCACAGGCGGCCCCGTCCAAGAAACACACAGCAAGCTCCCATAGCCCTCCCAGTCGACCAGGTACTGCCAACCGC